TTGAAAATCTATGTGAAATGTATGAAAATTAAACAGGACCTGATATGTGACAGAATGCAATGAATTTATACAACACCATTCGACTTATGATCTCATCGAAAACATATTCTAACGAAGAATTAAATAAAATTATTTACATAGCTTAAACCGCGCAATACACACCTATTACTCGATAAATATATAGTTATGAGCTGGCATCTTATATTACTAATATTGAATTGAAGGTTTTTTCTCTCAGTGCATCGACACCAACACATGCTCATAGACATCGGCACACGTAGTGTAAGAAATGCGCCTTGCAAAAATTTCCATAATTTAGCGATCTAAATGCAAGTGGCGCAATTGAAGCGTAATTAGACCCTGCCAGTCAGTCACCCTCACAACCTGGCATCCTGGCATCCAAGCATCCTGGCATCCTGGCAGCCGCACCAATAGTGCCACACGTGGAGTAGGAAGTGGCGCTAATTGGTTTCTGGTCAGCACGAAGGATGCACGAGTCCCACGGTTCCACAGTTTTTCCGGCTTTCAGCGGGCGCCAATTAAAAACGTGCTCACATTATGCTTTATTGACTTGCCCCACCCCACACAAATACCGCCCCCATGGCGGAATTCGTACAGATATCTTCAATACCCGAAGGACTCGCTACCTGAAATGGTTGGAAAATAGGGGGAAAGGTGGGTGGGGCGGGGCAGGACCCTGGTGGGCGTGCCTCTTAGCAATAATAACGTCCTCGGTTGGCCATAAAACAAATCATGCAAGTTTATGGTCACCTTACCTACATTGTCCACTGCGAAACTTTATCTTTTTCTATGCGGCATTATGGCCACAGATTAGACACGGGATTTAGCACAATGCCCATCCACCCAGCCACCCATCCACGGAGGGCAGGTGGAGATGTACGCATATGTGCCTATCTCCATATGGGGGTTTCCATTTTTTCGATAGCCAGCATAACGAATTAAATATGACCATTTGTATAATAGCCGAGACCCGAGACTCCAGTTGGCAGACCAACTCTCCGATATCTAATACAATTATGGTCGGGGTAATGGGCAATGGCAATGGGCAATGGACTTGATCCCATGGATGAGTATGTGCCCATTTGGCTGCCGGATAAACACGAATGCAAAATGCATGACGTTTCCTGTTTAATTTTCAGCCGACTAAGTGCTACGGCTTTGCTCAGGATCTGCAGGACAGCAGACGTAGCTGGAGTGTCCGGGATCCGGGGGATAGCTGATTTGGCTTCACATTTGCCCATTGTTGCATGTGCCTCAAAGTACAGATACGGATACTCACATCAAGTCTGCTGCCTCCGGGAACATTTTTCACTCAATTAAGTGGCTTTTTGATGGGCTGAAGTACGGCTTTACTCGTATATAGGCTTGGTAAAACCAATAAGCAAAGTGTTTGCGGAGCTCTCTGCAAAATTAGAATACTATACATCCTAATGTTAGCAGATGTGCTACCGAAAATTCTTTAAGATACCTTGGCTTTTACCTTAATTTCAGCGGTAATTGCAGAACATTTTATATAATGTACTTATATATTTAAATGACTTTCGTTGCCCTATACCTCTGCCATATAACTGTCTCTGTAGATTCTAATTTGATGAAGTTATTTGCCGACCGAAAGCCATAAATAACAATTTTTAAGGAAAAGCAGGGCGACAAAGGCAATGTGAAATTCAGAGGGAAAGAATGAAGGCGAGCGAGCGAGCGAGGAAATGTAAATTAGAAGCCAACTGTGACTGTCTAGATAAGAATGTACTTATATATATATGTGTATATATATACGTGTATCTGGGAGGGGCAGGATGTGGTGATGATGCCGGCTTGCCACCCGGACACCCACATCCAGATCCAGATACCCGCAAAGATACCCGGACAAGGAATGCGGTTCGTGCTCGACTGCGGCTCGTGGGGCACCAGTGTGCGGCATTTTATTTCGCATTAAGAGATTAAGATCAAAATTAAAATTTAAATTACCCCGCGACACGCTGCGAGGCTTCTATGTGCAAGTTGTATGTGGGTGTTGTCAACGTTTGCTTTGTTCCATTCTGCCCCCTTTGATTGCCCCAAACTGTTGCAGGCGCGCGGGGGATTCATTTTTAAGATTCTCCAGTTACTGTGGCAAATCTTTAAAACGACGAGCGTAATTAATTTGTGCGAAAACCTGGCAGCGGCAATGAAACTGCCTGATTGACAGACAACTTAATTGGGTTTCTCGGAAATATTCCGGCAAAACTTGCAATTAGCAGGCTTGTAAAGTTCAAGATATTTTATGCGGATTCTTCGCCAGCTATCCAAGTGCAACTATTGCTACACTGGGCGAATAACTAACCAAATCAAGCAATTAACCAGCCGCAGGTTAATGTCATTGCAAGTAAGTATCGCTGGAAAACTACTACTTAAAAGAGGTGTTGCTTGTACCAGTATACACAAATAACTCAGATAGGTGTACTTACAAAATAGATATTATTATAACTCTGGCCTGCGGCTTGTTGTTTTCCGCAATGTATCTGTGACCGAAAGTTGCCGCAATGTCAGCATCAGTATCAGTCTGCTTCTGAGCCCGAGTCCTGGTTGCTGGGTGGTAGGTTGGAGTCCTGGATTCCGAGTCCTTGGACCCACTCCCACCTGAGTCCACCCACCGAGCCGCAAAAAGGGGACTGCAAGTGACGCAATGCAAAATCCTTACCGCAATCCCTAGAAAAATTTATGAGCACTCAAGTTGATTCAATTTAAAATTTCTCCATGCGGCTGCTAACCGAACCCTTTTCCTTTTCCCCCGATTTTCGCCGCTTTTCCCCGCTTCTCCCCGCTTTTCCTTGATTTTCCACCGCACTTCCAGCCTCCAGTGCCAGCCCCCGAATTTGTGACGCTGACGTCTCATTTTTATAATTAGGCTAAGCCCAGGCCCAAAGCCAAGTTGCCAACTGTGCCTGCGCTTTACTCTCTCCAATTTCACTCGACTTTTCCCGCTTTGCCCGCTTTTCCTCCGCTCCGTTCGGTTTCGGCCCGGCTAATTGTGCGATGGCTGGCGAGGCATCCGTTGCCAAGGTTTCGCCAGCGAGAACTACTAGTATATACTAGTGGTAAAGTATGGAACAATGCGAAACTTTGCCCGATATTGTTGGCTCGGACATTTGGGGGAAATGCGAAAAATTAGCAGCTAGAAAGCAGCAACAGCAGATGAGGAGCAACAGCAACTAAATTTGCAGCCGGCCAAAAGTTTTGCGCATTTTGAGTGGCATCAATTTTGACATTTACCTGCAATGTGGCCAAAAAGGAAAGCTCAGTTCTCAGCTCACCCGCTAACTGGGCTTCGCGCCCTAAGCTGATTTCAAGTAATTTCGGCCTTAGATTGTTTTCCTCTTTTGGGTGCAAACTTTTCTTGATATGCCACATTATTCAAAACAAAATAAACAAGGGAGAACGCTGTAGTCGACTATCAGATACCCGTTAATCAGCTAGTGGAAACTCAACATTTCAAATAGGGAAACACGCTAATAAAATAAGCAAAACGATCCTGATCCCGATCAGAATATATATACTTCAAATGGTCGAAACCAATTCCTTCTACCTGTTACATACTTTCAGCGAAGCTAGCATAACCTCTGATTCTACGAGTACCGGGTGTAAAAACAAAGAAAGCGAAATGCAGGGCAGGAAAAACTGCAACTAAAGTTCGGGGCATGGAATGTGTCAGGATGTATAAGTCTGTAAAAATTCCAGCTACGCTTTTTGTGTTGTTCCCACTTTTGTTGTTTGGAGCTGGAAAAGTTTTTGGCGCAACGGGCACGGAAGTTGCACCCCACGGGGGCGGCGAACGGTGGGGTGCTGGAAAGTGGGCGGGGCAGGCGGAAGTGGCGCATGCAAAGTGCAAAAGCTCGTTGAATATGACCGGGCATTAAAGATGCCATAACCGTGTGTGTGCGCCTTCTTCGTGTGAGTGTGTGTGTGTGGGTGTGGGTGTGTTTGTGTGGGCAGGATGTCAAAAGTTTGGCTAAGTAAAACCTCATGTGCATCTAATTAAAAATATAAAAAACTTTATTTTAAGGCCGCCAAAGAAAACTTTGTCTCCAGCGGAAATGAGTGTGTCTCGGTGAGTGTGCGTGTGCCTGTGCGTGTGAGTGTGCGTGTGTTGCCTCCAAAGCGAAAGGATTGTTGCCTCCTGCCGTTTTCTGTTGCATTTAAAAGTTCCAAGTTGGCATGTTTATCAGCACGAGTGTGTAAAGGGATTTTTCGTTTCGCAAATGAGCTGCCAAATTGGCATAACTTGCTGTGCGAAAGGTGACAGCCAAAACCGAGAAGAGCAAACTTTGAAAAAGCCAGCGCGGTTAATTAGTTTCGTTTTTTAGGGCTTAAGGAAATTTCTATCTGCATCAAAATATGCGGCATTGAGGTATTTTCCTATTCTCCAGCTACCTAAACTATCACTCCATGGGTTGGCTTGAATTCCGTTCATTCGTTAGGAGCGTCATCAAGTCAAGGGCTTAATGGCTTGCTTTTGACAAGCAGCTTCAAAGGCTGGCAATAGTATTGGCTAAAGGAGTGGCTTTTTTGGGCAGAAGGAGTTGCAGAAACATCCTGACCAAACCAGACGGATCCACTGACAGTCACAGCCGCAGCCAGTTTGAGTGACTGACTCTGACTTCGACTTGCACATGCCATCAGTGCGGCTGATTCGGATTCTGGTCCACAGTGCCCACTTTCCCACTTTCCCAACTCTGCAGCCCCGTCCGGACCGATGTCATTAATGCAACTGGAGGCTCGAGAACCCGCCTTAACCCTTTTGGACAGCCCCAAATGCTTTGCATTTCTACTTTGCACTGGCCGCATGTGCGGCTGCTTTTCAGCCCCCCAAAAATCCAGCAGCCCAGCGGGAAAAGCGACCGCTTTTCCCCAGCCATTCGGTTCGATGGGAGCAAAAAATAACAAACGAGCGCACAACATGAGCTGAAAATAAGATTTTTGAGCCATTTCGTTTTGTTGCGCTTATGTGGGCTTGCCCATGTGTGTGACTGCGTGTGTGCCTCTTTGGTTGTGCGTGTGTGCGTGTGTGCGTGTGTGAGTACTTGTCCTAGCCTTGGTAACATCGTCTGGCCGACTCTGCGCCTCACTGGCTGATGTATTCATGAAATCGTGTGATTAATGGCTCGCACAACATTTGCACACACTGCTCCAGCTCCTGATCCTCCTGCTTCTTCTCCTGCTGCCACTGGCACTGCTGCTCCTTGCATCCTTCGGCTCATCCTCGACAGGCGGCGTATCTGTCTGCGTGCAGATAAACATGCCCAGCCGCTCCTCGCTTCAGGCACTGAAGGAAAAGAAGGGGCAGAAGTATGGTGTATTGGTAGTTAATTGCAGAAATGTATTATAGTATTCTTACATCTAATGCCTAGTTGTCAAATCCTTGGTAGGTAGAGTTATTCCTTTTCTGAGCCGTGTTATTATACATATTTCTTCAAGTGCACCCGCTGCCAATCTCCGCCAGCAAATGCTGCGCATGCATAACGGGCGAAGGATGTGTGTGGACGGGGACTTGGTCGGGGACAGAAGGACACCCAGGACATACAGAACAGCAGCAGCAGCAGTGACGACGCAGCAACGACGACGACATTGGTCACAAAAATTTTCCGGCTCTGCGCGTTTGTCTGCCATTTTATCATAGCCGGCCGAGCCAAGCCGGCCGAGCCGCATGAGGCGTTGAAATTAACAAACATCCTGGGCCTCCGCTGCCGCATCCTTGCGCATCCTGGGCGAAACAAAAATGCGTCGTAATTAAAGCGAATTTAATTGCTTTCGCCTGTGCGAAATGCCCCCGAATGCGCCCCATTCCAGCGCTTATAACTATGCTATAATCTTTGACACTTTTATTGCGGCTCTAAAAGTTATTAACTTGATTTAATAAGCGCCTTGGACAGCGGCAGTGGCAGCAACAACGAATTGGAATGTTTAGCATTTTACAGTATCATCTGAGGGGAAAAGTTTGCCAAATGAATTTGATCGCCTTGGCATTCAGAACGTGGCTTTAATTAACTCATTTTTCATTGGCGCTGCCAGCGGGTCGTCCTTGCGGCAGGACGAGGGGTTGAATCCGAAGCCGAGTGAAATCCGCAACCGAGGGTTAGGTAATCTTATCTGCTAGGTGGGTCGTTCCACCGTAGCTCGCGGGCCTTTCAGCCCGAGCCCATCACTCATCCGGAGCCCAAGCCTTTGTCTCCCTGCTGATAAGCCCAAGAAAAGTGCCCATCTCCCCCCAGTCGGGCTGGCTTTTCGGTTTTATCAGCGTGAACAAATTTGAATTAGCCATTTGAATTCGGAATTTGGCATTTGGAATTTGGAATTTGGAATTTTCATGCCGAATTATGCGAGGCAGCGTCGCTTGGCTGAATTTGCATCGATTCGCGCGGCAAGACAGCAAGATAAATAGTTGAATAAACAGTGCCCATTAAACTGTCTTTAAGGCTTTAAGTGGAAATCAATTTTTCTTCTCCCATTCGACCGATTTTTGGTGTAGCCAAGTCCATCTTCCAGTGCCAAGCAAACTAATCTGAACTGGGAATTAGCCCCTATAACAATTGAGCTTAATTCGTGGGAAATCTGCCATAATACGTGCTTTGACACACAAGACAATGGTTCTGTCACTGGCGCCTTGAAAATAAAAATGAACCAAAGACTCTCACAAGTTGTTTCATTTTTAATCAAGCTGGGGTTTTTGCATGGCTGCCATTTAGGTGGGTCAAAGGTAAATGCAATGGAAAATGCAGACTTCGGACCCCCAAAGAAAAGCCAAGAAAAGCCAGACACAGATGCAGACACTTTTTATGGGCAATAGAAAAACCTCAAAATTGCAGATTTAATTTTATTTTATTGCACTTCTCCCTGCTGCCAACGAAAATTGTTTCTTTATGCAGGATCTCCATTGTCCTGTCGTCTGATGGAACGGCAGAGATTTCTGGCGGGTGAGTGCGGAATTTAATCAAGAAAATATTCGGGGACACTTGAAACTTAAGTCAAGCCAAGTCAACAATTTGCGGCTGCTGGATAAACTAAGCAAATTCCATTTCGTGCTGGTATTATTTGGCCTGCACTGCACCGAACGATTGCTCATTAATAAACATAAGCAACAAATTGCTCGACGAAATCAAAAAACCAAAACCATTTACGAGCTCACTGAGCAGGATTAAAAAATTCCAGAAAAAATGGTGGCCTGAATGGTGAATGGTGGATGGGTAACCAGTAACCAGTAACCAGGAACCGTTTTTCTGCTGTATAGTATTCGTAATCAAACGCAGTCGGAGTCATAATAATCAAGTCGTAAAAAACAAATCCATTTTCGCGCTTGAATAAACAGCCAAAACAGAGACTCTCAAGACGAAGGATCCCCAGACAGGGTCGTAAGATGGGCAGTAAAAACAATGATAGTAATGGCGGAACATTTTTACACCTTCCACGGCAGCCGCAAAGGGATCAGGATAAACATGCTGTGGTAATAAAAAGAAACAGCACAAATAGCTCAATGGCTTTGATTTTGGTTTGTACACTCTTTTTTACGACCGGCCAGGATGACAACGTGTAAATTTTGCGCTTTATTTAACAGGGCAAATGACAAATCTGATTCCATTTAATGATCGTAAAATCACTCATCAAGCGCTGTAAATTGCAATGTAATAGAAAAATAATAAGCGACTGCGATGCATCGAAGATGTTATCATCGTAAAAGCCGAGAGTCGTAAAATCCGAGAGTCCTGCTCCTTCAGCTGGGCTTCAGCTTGAGAGAGGAAGGTCCTGGCGTTAGTTTTCACACCCAAAACAGTGTCGGCTGGGCGGATGCAAAGCTCTGGCATCATTACACTTGAGTGTTTTACAACTTCCGTTGAGTTCGCCCTGGCCATAAAGTGTAATCTTCATGTTTTTATTAGGCGGATGAGCGGATGGTCGGATGGTCGGACGGGGGCGCTGGGTTGTCAATGGCGCTGAGGACATCAAATTGACAGCTCCTTGGAGTCGTAAAACTCAGCCACTGTCTGGCCATTCACAGCATATACATATGTATGCACATATGTTTGGGGGCGATGATTGTCACCGGCTAAACAATTAAATCGAGGTTAGGAATGGCGCATAAAAAGCGCATAAAAAGGACATAAACACAGACCCTCACCTCGACAATGATGATAATGATAATGATGACGATGTCGTCAACGCATCGTAAACATTTTAAGCCAGTGTTTATTTTCATTTGGCAGGGACAAGAGCGGAACACGACCCCTATGCGATCTGTGGCCTCGTAAAACTCTGCTGATAAGACACCCAGCTCGCCGCTGGTAATGATAATAAAATTATAAGTTACACACCCACATATGCTGTGGATCCTTCGGATGGGTCTCTATGGATGGGCACTTCACTTTAGTCGGGGGAATACCCCAGACTGCCTGTTCATCCTTTTGCCGCCGTTAAGTGCGCTAATCAGCATTTAAAATTAACTAAATGCCCGCCTCTTAAGACAAACTTGATGAGTTTGGCCTTTGGCTCGCAGGATATCCCTGGGTCCTTCAGTTCTCGGGGCTGTAAAACCAGGTTTATGTTGTTCTCGGCCCGTTAAGTGGATGGAAGATGCGTTTTTCATGTAGCTGCAAATGGCCGGGGCATGTGGCATGTGGCATCTTAAGATCGGGCCATAACACTTAAGTGTGCGCCAAGTGACATTTGATTGCTCCAGTTCCAAGCGTTTGGAAAGTGCTGAGATGCTGGATTCGCATCAAAATTAATTGACAGACATGTGTGGGCCAAGCGCCAATTAAACTCAAGGCGGAAGTACTTAATTAACTTATCGAATCGCATCGAATTGAAGATGGTTTATAGCGCAGATATGTTTTAATGCCAGAAGCATTCAAGTTAATCATTAACTTTACTCAATTTTAGTTTTAAATACTGTTTGCTTCACTCTATTCCGAGTCCACCTTAAGCCCCATTATCATATGGCACTCTCCGCTTTTAATTGGGCCGCCAGTCGGAGAGTGCGTGTCATCCGCACTCACAAGCACACTCACACGCTCCCGCACGTACACACTCGCACACTCACACAGCGTGCACCCACACAAAGGGAAGCTTACTTCCGCCATTTTCTATGATGAATTGCTACTTTGGCTCAACGCACGCACACCCGTTCGCCGAAGAGCAGAAGATGCGCAGACGGCAGGAGGAGCAGAGATGAGCTGAGTACAGCCAGGAGCTGAAGAGGACGAGGGACAGGAGCTCGCATAGATACACATTTATCCAGCTGTCGGCGGCGTTGACAGCGGCAGGAAAAAAGGAGTGCAGGACTCCGAAAAGGAGCCGCTTACCTGGGCAGGTGAGCTCAGCTCCCGGGCTCAGGACACGGGAAGTGCACTTTGGACACGGGACACCCACACATCGGGGTGCTTTTGCCGCTTATTTATGTCTGGCAATCATAAAGCGCGCTAAGGAGCGAGCGAAAGCGATAGAGCGGCGCGAACGAGACGGGGCGAGCGAGTGCAGGTTATGGCCTTCTATAACTCAGAACTGGGGAAACTCCAGGACCTGGAACCCAGTGCTCAGTGCTCAGTACTCAGAACTCAGAACTCAGAACTGAGGGCTCCGAACTCACATGATGCCGCCTCTTTCTGGCCAACGTCTGCGTCCACTTTCGTTGGCTGCTGCTGATGTATTCCATACAAATTGCAGGTTTTAGTGTTTTTATTTTTGCCCTTTAGCGCAGGGGTGGAATCCGGAATCCTGCTGACTACGTTCGGGGCGGAGTGGGTGGAGTGGGTGGAGTGGGCGGCCGAGTGGCTGAGTGGGCAGGCGCATCATCCATCAATGGCATTTGCGGCAAGGACAGCGGCGAGTGCTCTCGGTGAGTGCTTCTGACGTTTTTGTGTCGCAGACACAACAACGCTAAAATTGGGGGCGAGTGGGGGAGGTCCCAGAATCTGGCTAGCATGCCCCTTCTTTTTTTGGCGAACTCATGCGGCGAAATTTGTTCTGTTTTCGCTGCAAAACAATATCAAAATGTCTTTACTGAGCGGCAAATGCTATCACTTTCAATTTTCATGATTTTGTTTAATTTGAACTGGTAATTGATAAAAACTGTATAATCTGCATAGGAACAATATATCAGCTTTAAATTGGATAATAAACGTAATTGTTTATGTTAATATTTATTATCATAAGACTGAAATGTGCACTTTTCTGATTTTTAATAACTTTTCAACGCTTCTCTTGCATTTCTAGCGCCAGATTATTTCTTATT